TTTTTCTCCGGTACCGGGAATCGAACTCACGACGTTGCGCTTGCCATCCAGGCGCTTTTGCCGCTGAGCTAAATCCCCAGCCCCTTTATTGTATTTTCATTGTATTTTATTTTGAGTGTTTTTCTCCCCAGCCATATCATTTTCAGAATTAAGAATATTAAGATTAAATGAATTACGAAGGGAGGACACTCGTTGAAATGCTTCAGCCTGAAGTTTTTGAGTTTATTTCTTTATCTGTTTACTTACTCACTTACTTATGCTGGGCATGGAACCCAGGGAACCCATGCTGGCAAGAGCTCTGCCCTTGAGCTGCACACCAGCTCTAAACTTCTGTGAGGTTTCTCAGTGGGTTCACTTCTTCTTGCGTTGGTAAATTAGATCAGTGCTAATCTTAGTTTTGCCTACAAGGAGAATGAGAACTGGAGAGGCGTCAGTAAGCTGCCCAGGGCCCTCTGGCTAGTCTTTCGGCAGATACTGGACCCTATAATACTGCTTTTGGAAAGGGACCCATGACCCCGTAATGTGTATTATAAAACTGTTACCCTTGGACTTGTCTACCCTCTCCCAGCATTTGCACTGGGTGTGACTTCCTGTGCACCTGTGCGAGGAACTTGCTAAAATGCAGATTCTAGGCACCTGCTGGACATTCAGTGGGCCAGGGTAGACCCCTTCACCCTCTTAGTACTTGCATTTTAGCAAGTACTAGCCCCAGATGAGTCTGAAGGAGATGATGGTTGTGGCTTCTTCTCAGTTCAACCCTGCTGGCTCTGTCCGTGCATCTAGGCTAAAGCCTCCCACTCCAGGAAGGGAAAGTGGGGAGCTGTAGCTCACCGGGGCAAGGGACAAAGCTGGTGCTTGAACTCCCAGTGCGGTGTTCCATCCTTGGTTCTCCTCACCCGCACCCCGTTGGACCTCTGCTCAACTGGGATGAGTGGCAGCTCCTTGGCTCCCTCTCGCCGGGGTGGACAGTCACTGCATTTGGAAGTGGGGAGCAGCTTTGGGGTCATGGATTCCCATCACCCATCTGAGCTCTGAGCTCCCTGCTGCAGCTCCGGGAAGATGCTGACAAGCATGTTTGGCCAGGGAGGGGCCTGGCCTGCTTGGGCTTTGGGAGGAGCTGCACAGAGGCCGGGGCGGACTGGGATCCATGCCCGCCGGCCCTGACTGTTCCATTGTCCCCATGCCACAGAGCCTTGGAGGAGCCACTTTTGTGGTCAGGAATCTGCAGGACCCTGCCGAGTGGCTTGGAGAACCTCCCCCTGGGGACTGATCAAGAAGAGGAAGGCCCCGAGAATAGCCCATTGTCCAAACCCCCAGCCTCACCTGCTGCTCCAGGTAGGTGCCCTACCATCATCTCACCCAGCCTGGCTGAGCCCAGTGCCCACTATTTCCTCCAGCTTGGGAATCGCAGCTGTCTCACTGCCCATGGTGTGTGGCTCTTCACATGGGCAAAGGTCCTCTGTAGGCTCTTCTAACCCCACACCATGACAGGAGGGGGCAGGAAGAGCGTAGTCCCTCTCCGTTGGGCACTGTCCCAGTTAATGCTGGCTTCTGAAGCCTGGAAAGGGGCTGGGGTTGCCTGGCTTTGGTTAGGATGCCCTTCACCCCTCAGCAGTACTCCCTAGCTGAGCTCTTAGCTGGGTCCCCTGTGTGCTTCTTGCTCAGCCACTCTGGCATGGAGCAGGCCTGGGACCTACTCAGACACTGTTCTTCCATGAGTCCCCTCACTCCTGACACTTTTTGTCAGAAAGGGTTAGGACAGATGGTATCTTCATAAACTGTTGGAGCTGGAAGGGATCTTGGTGATATAATCCACCCGCAATCCCTCTTTACTTCTTAGGCATTACTTATATCAATAGTGTAGTTCGGAATGTTGTCATTGAACATCTTGGAGAAATCAGGTGTAATCTTGTCAAAATAGCACGGGAAGCCTTTGGCTTCCGAGAGCCCTTCCAGGCCTAGCCGCTTCCTCCCAGCCTGGCCTCAGCCCTGCCCCTGCCCCAGGCTTTCCCTCAACCTACCCCTCATTTCTAGCAACTCATACCCCTTTGCAGAAGTGACCCAGCACCCAAAGCTGGAAGGTGTTAATATTTACAGGGTAGAGGGCTGGGGCTTTAGCTCAGCGGCACAGCGCCTGCCTGGCAAGCGCAA